GGGGGCGGGGCTCCTCAGGTCCCCGGGGTGGGGGCGCGGCTCCTCAGGGACCTGAGCGCTAGGCCTGAGCGTGTGGGGGCCGCTCGCCGCCCGGCTCACGTCGTGCGCTTGTTTGCTTGTCTGAATCGATACTGTCAACACGGAACTGGCGATTTGAATACGTGTTTATAGTAAGTGACAATTCTTGAGTAATCAGTTGGCCTGTTTGGGCAGCAGGGGATTACTGTGTTTATTTAATTGGCTAATTACGGCGGGCACGGGCGCTCCGGGCCGCGGAGTCTGCGCCGCACGTGCTGCGGCCGCGGCGCTCGCACTTCGGGCCCGGTGTCCGGACGGCGCCGCCGGGGAGGGAAGGCGGACGAGGCCCGCGCCCCGTGTCCGCGGCCGGACTCGCGTGAGGAGTGGGGAGCCGGGCGGCCGCAGTGCCCGCGGGGGCTCCGAGGCGGACGAGCCCGCGGGCCGCAGCTCGACTGGACGCCGGAGCAGAGCCGGCACGGACACCACACGGTCTTGCAGACCGCTGTAGAACACGCTTTTTCACGACAATGTTTTCATTGCGGCCACTTTCTTCATCAAGTACATTTTTAACATAAGCTTTGAGACCCTATGTTGACCTTATTCTAATAAGATAGTGTGTATGAACCACATTGAAGATTATTAAAACACTCGACCAATATAATCGTGTTTAGTATGTTATGGATTATATTTTTACATGGACACCTATTTTTAGGTATTTTTACACTGATTTCTCAGTTGAATGAGGCTGGTATCAAGTTAAGATTTTTTTTTAATGTTTGTTTTATTTGTTTTTGAGAGAAAGAGCGGGGGAGGGGCAGAGAGCGGGAGACACAGAAAGCGAGGCGGCTCCGGGCTCCGGGCTCCGAGATGCCAGCAGAGAGCTCAGCGCGGGGCTGGAACTCATGAACCACAGGATCGTGGCCTGAGCCGGGGTCAGGCGCTTAGCCGACTGAGTCACCCAGCGCCCCTAGGCTGGTGCCACGTTTACGGAATCATTCTAGATAGTTTCATTTATTGATGCGGTTTCAGACACAGCACTCTGAATTTTTACTTAAGAGAAAGATCAGTTGAATATTTAAAACCCCAACATACTCTTTTCTCACTTGATTTTTAAAATCTATACTGATCCCTAGATGTTAAAACATCCAACTGTAACCGTTTGTTCTGAAGTTACTGTCGAAAACTCGCTTTGGCAGGAGTCCTGACACGGTGGACGCCGCACAAATAGCGAGTCCTTCCCGCGGCTCTGGATTCACCCGCTGTGTGAACATGTGAACATACGCGGAGCCCATCCTGTGTCACAACACGGGAAGCATGCAGAATATGGACTCAGAGTCCATCGCCTGGGAACCTTATGACCCAGCGAGTTTTTACCTCGGGTCTCCAACCCACGTTTTCATTCCCATTCTCTAGGATCTGCAGCAACTGCAGCAGCTTCAGCAGCAGAATCTCAACCTGCAGCAGTTTGTGCTGGTCCATCCGACCACCAACTTGCAGCCAGCGCAGTTTATCATCTCACAGGCGCCGCAGAGCCAGCAGGGTAAGCTTCTCCGCGGCACCCGCACCCGGCTGCTGCGCCGCACACACCGACTGCTGTCGTTTTCATGGCTTTATTAAATGTAACTGTAAGCTCAGTGTTCGTGTTAAGAAAAATATAATTTTTAGGGGCACCTGGGTGGCTCAGTCGGTTAAGTGTCCTACTTCGGCTCAGGTCATAATCTCACGGTTCGTGGGTTCGAGCCCCACATCAAGCTCTTTGATGTCAGCACAGAGCCTGCTTGGGACTCTCTGTCCCCTTCTCTCTCTGCCTCTCTGTCTCTCTCGGAAAAAATAGAAAAGAGGGGCGCCTGGGTGGCTCGGGTCATGATCTTGCTGTCTGTGGGTTCGAGCCCTGCATCGGGCTCTATGCTGACAGCTCAGAGCCTGGAGTCTGCTTCAGATCTGTGTTTCCCTCTCTCTCTGCCCCTCCCCCGCTCATGCTCTGTCCCTAAAAAATAAACATTAAAAAAATTTTTTTAATAAAAAAAAAAGGAAACTCTTTGGTCTTGCATATCACATATTGAAGGTCGTCCTTTACTGCCTTTCGTCTGTTCAATCTCTGGGGGGGAGCCAAGAGTTTGGTCAGAAGTCTAAATGAAATCTTTCCAACATAAATTATTTCTAGTATTTTGATAGTATTTCTTGGGAATGTATTTTAAAAATGTGGGCTGAGCATTAAAAGCATATGCTTCTAACCATCATTTGTTTCCTTTAAAAGTTTGGGAAGGAGAGAGTGTCATATTAGAAATTACAAAGTTTTGAGTTACAAAAAACACGTTTGAGGCCTTTTAGTAATCAATGCTGTTGTGTAATTTCTGTATCAAACAAGTTCACTCTTTGTTTGTAAGGTTAGTTAGTGTAGAGAGATTCAGGATATCGAGGCTCCCCCCCAAGGAACATGCGTCCGTTGCTACCAGTTTCTTGTTGTGTCCTTTAGCCTTTTTCGTCTTGATCATTCATCCCAAAATCTTTCATTGTGTAAATACCGATTCCGCTTAATAGGTAGCTTGCTGCTTTCATGAATCAGTTCTCTGGCCCAACATAGACTGGCAATTTCTGATGGGTCCTGGGTTAAGAAGATGAGCTCTTTTTAGAGTTTCAGGCTTGCTTCCATTTAGAATACTTCCTCATTTTCATCCATTCCTTACTAAAAGGATTGGCCAGTCAGATCATCAGACAGGTTATCAAAGATATGTATCAGTTTTAAGTTATTTTTTTAATGTTCATTTATTTATTTTGAGAGAGAGAGACAGCACGGGTGGGGGAGGGGCAGAGAGAGGGAGAGAATCCCAAGCAGGCTCTGTGTTGTCAGCACAGAGCCCAGTGCAGAGCTCCATCCCGCGCACCATGAGATCATGACCTGAGCGGAAATCAGGAGACAGATGCCCAGCCGACTGAGCCACCCAGATGCCTGTGTCAGTTTTAGTGTTATATTCCCTCTCTTCCCGCCCAAGCTGCAGTTCATAAGATTGAATTTTAGAAAATAAGACATTAAGAATTTTAAGACTGATAAGGCTATCAAGAGATCAGTTGGAAATTTTCATTTCACTCTCTTATTCTTTATTTTGTCACATGTTCAAAGTAACGCTTAGTGTGTCTGACAGGACACGTTTGTGTTTTACAGGCCTCCTGCAAGCGCAGAATCTTTTAACGCAACTACCTCAGCAAAGCCAAGCCAACCTCCTCCAGTCGCAGCCAAGCATCACCCTCACCTCCCAGGTCAGTTTTCTCCCACTGAGGGTTACTTTCTCTTACCTGAGGTTTTGAGGGACTCCTGGACTTGGTTTAATTAAAAACACAACAAATCCCCACAGAACCCTAATTAAAATAATCCACATAGTTTTCACAAACTGAGCAAAAATTCACAGCAGGACTTACCAGCTTGATAAAGCAATCCTATCAGATTGATGTCGTCTTTGAAAATCTTCAAGGAGTTCCTATTTTCTTATATATTTATAAAAAAATAACTGTTAGTGACAAGTGAGTATGGAGTCCCAGCTAGTTGCCCACCCTCTCCTCCCCCCCTCCCCTCTCTGTCGTTGGCAGTAGAGATTACCTCTTGCACTGGAAACCCACCGCTTTCGTTAGAACACCTCACTGCCCTGTGCCCTTTCTAAGAAACTCCAAAGAAGTTCTGATCTCTGTTTTCTTTCTCTCAACTTTGAGGTGTTGCTTCAGCTCATTTCTACCAAAGTTTAACTCTATAATAAAGTATAGATCTAGACATCTTGAGATGGAAGCTTTGGACCTCTTTTATTTCTTTATTTTTAAAAAAAATTTTTTAATGTGTTTTATTTATTTCTGAGAGAGACAGAGACAGAGACAGAGACAGCATAAGCAGGGGAGGGTCAGAGAGAGAGGGAGACACAATCCGAAACAGGCTCTAGGCTCTGAGCTGTCAGCACAGAGCCCAACATGGGGCTCGAACCGACAAACTGTGAGATCATGACCTGAGCCGAAGTCGGACGCTCAACCCACTAAGCCCCTCAGGCGCCCCTGGACCTCTTTTATTTCTTAACCAGCTGTGACTCTGAGCACGTCATTTCAGTTCTCATCTGTAAATTAGGTAATTACACTGGCTGATCCCGAATCCCTCTTCAGCTCTGATTCGCTTTGTCTGTAATCTTGGAAGTTCTAACTAACACATGGCCAGATTTGACAAAGTTCAACATCTTTTTATGAAAAGGAAAAAACCATGAAAAAAACCAAAACCTCTTGCACACTAGGAATAGTTTTCCAACCTACTGAAAGGCATCTGCAAAAAAACCAAACAAACCCTACATCATACTTTCCCATTAAGATCAGGAGTAAGGCAAGGATGTCCACTGTTAACCACTTTTTAAAAATATATTTATTTAATGAGGGGCGCCTGGGTGGCTTAGTCGGTTAAGCGTCCGACTTTCGCTTAGGTCATGATCTTGCGGTTCGTGGGTTCGAGCCCCGCGTCGGGCTCTGTGCTGACTGCCAGCTCAGAGCCTGGAGCCTGTTTCAGTCTGTGACTCCCTCTCTCTCTGACCCTCCCTTGCTCGCGCTGTCTCTCTCTCTCTGTCTCCTAGAAATAAATAAAACATTTAAAAAAAAAATTTAAAAATATATATATATTTATTTAATGAGAGAAAGAGAGAGTGTGTCTGTACAAGCAGGGAAGCAGCAGAGACAGAGGGAAAGAGAATCCCAAGCACTGTTTGCAGAGCCCGACACGGGACTTGATCTCACGAACTATAAGATCACAGCCTGAGCCGAAATCAAGAATCAAGTGCTTAACTGACTGAGCCCTCAGGCGCCCCAACTGTTACCACTCTTATTCAGCATTTTACTGGAAGTCCTAGCAGTGCAAGAAGACAAGAAAAAGAAAGGACGGAGCTAGAGATTAGGAAGGAAGATGTAAAACTGTCTTAATTGGTAGAGGGCATGATTATCTATGTTAAAATCCTAAGGAATCTACAAAAAACTGCTGGAGTTAGTGAGTTTAGCAAGTATGTAGGATACAAAGTTGGTGTTAACAGTGATCGTCTGGAAGTTGAGCTTAAGAGGAAAAATATTTACCCTATTTACAGATAAAGTTAACAAAACATTTGTAAGACTTATACATAGCTTTCCGTGTATATTTTTCTACAAGATATTGCTGAGTGAAGTTAATCAAGACCCATATCAATAGAGAATATAATGTGTTCACGAATCGGAAGACTTGGGTTGTTAAAATGTGAATTCTTGGGGCGCCTGGGTGGCTTAGTCGGTTAAGCGTCCGACTTTAGCTTGGGTCGTGATCTCGCGGTTCGTGGGTTCGAGCCCAGCGTTGGGCTCTGTGCTGACTGCCAGCTCAGAGCCTGGAGCCTGTTTCAGTCTGTGACTCCCTCTCTCTCTGACCCTCCCCTGCTCACGCTGTCTCTCTCTCTCCTAGAAATAAATAAAACATTTAAAAAACACTTTTAAGGGGTGCCTGGGTGGCTTAGTCGGTTAAGTGTCCGACTTTCGCTTAGGTCATGATCTCACGGTTCGTGGGTTCGAGCCCCGCGTCGGGCTCTGTGCTGACTGCCAGCTCAGAGCCTGGAGCCTGTTTCAATCTGTGACTCCCTCTCTCTCTGACCCTCCCCTGCTCATGCTGTCTCTCTCTCTCTCTCTCCTAGAAATAAATAAAACATTAAAAAAATAAATAAATAAATAAATAAATAAAAATCACTTTTAAAAAATAAAATGTGAATTCTTTTCCAAATTGATCTATAGAGTCAACACAATTCTGATCAATCCGGCAGGGTTTTTTAAATAGAAATTTGCATCATGTTTCTAACATTTATATGGAATTCTAGAGGACCTAGAAAAATCAAATAGTTTTGAAAAGTAAGAAAGTTGAAACACTACCTCATGTCAAAAATTATTATAAAGCTTTGGTGATGAAGACAGCATGATAACAGAATATGGATAGAAATGAAATAGAATAGAAGGTTAAAGTAGACCCACACATCTATGGCCAACGCATTTTCCACAAAGGTGCGAAAGGATTTCAGTGAGAAAAGGAAAGTCTTTGGTTATCCGTAGGCAAAAACAAACAAACGAAAACCTTGATTCTTATTTTACACAATTTACAGTGATTACTTTGGAAGGAGTATAAGACCTAACCTTCCAGAAGAAAACTTAGGAAAAAATCTTTGTGCCCCTGAATAAGATAATGATTTCTTAAATAGGACACAAAAACACTATTCATGAAAGAAATAAATTGATTAATTTCATAAAAATTAAAATCTTTTTGTTAAAAGCATAAAAGAAAAGCCACAGACTGGAAGAAAATAGTCTTCAGATTTAAATCTGATACAAGAGGTGCGTCTAGAATTTATAACGAATTCACACAACTCAATACTAAGACAACCTGATTTTTAGAAAGGGGGGGGAGATGCAAATTATTTGTAAATACTTCACCAAAGAAGGCATGTAAATGCCCAGTAACCATGTAGAAAGATGCTGCAAATTATTAGTCATCAGGGAAATGCAAATGAAATATCACAGCACACCCACTAGAATGGGCAAAATTAAAAAGGCTGTGACAATACCAAGTGTAAAGCAACTGGGCTTTTTCTATATAATTAATGGGGTTGCAAATTGGTACAAACACTGTGGAAGACAGTTTGGCAGCTTCTTATAACATTGAAGATGCATGTACCTTATGACTGCAATTCTACTCCTAGAAATGAAAGCATGTGTCCATGCAAAGACCCATATGTAAATGTTCAAAGCAGTGTTATTCATCGTCACACCAAACTGGAAATAACCTAAATATCCATCAGCTAATGAGTAGGTTACATAATTTCTGGCATATCCGTATGATGGAATGCTAATCAGCCATAGAAAGAAACAGACTTCTGAAACATTTACCAACAGTTAGGAATTTTGGAAGCATTATGTTAAGTGAAAGAAACCAAGCATAAAAGAGTGCACACAGTTTGATTCAGTGCGTATGGCGTTTTAGAACAGGCAAAACTATAGGGACAGAAATCGTACCAGTGCTTGCCAGGGGCCGGGCGCTAGGGAAGGGGACGGAGGGCAAAGAGCATAAAGAACTTTCACGGGGCGTAGAAATGTTCTGAATCGTAATTGTGGTGGCGGTTATATGACTATATACACTTGGCGCAACATCAAACTATATACGTTGAAATTGTGCGTGTCACTGTGGACCTGCTGCATGTAGAAGTCAGGCTGGAGTTTTGTGGGCGCCTGTGCCGGCCGCGCCTCGCTGGTCTGTGTGCTCCGCGCTTGGTGGCGGGGCTGCTCGGCTTCGTCCTAACTCCTGCTCACTGAATTCTACTCTGCCATTTCTAGATCTGGCCCAGCCCAACCTGAGGTTTCTGGAGCTGGGGTAACCTTTCTGTAACCACCCCACCTAAAGGTACCCAAGCTATTTTTAGTCCTTTATTACTTGAGAATGGGGCTCCTTCAAGCCTGGAGATGAAGTAACAGTCTGGTAGTTGAGGCTCACCTCTGCCTACCGACCAGCCGGTCTCACTGGGAATGTATAGCTGCATAGGATTCTAATATGGTTAGTGCTGGTTTGGACTCCTCCAAAAGGTCAGGTTGAAAATTAGTGTCAACAACATAATAGAGATGAACTTGGCTGTCTTTGTTGAAACCGGATGACAGAGAGTAGCCTACTCCAGGGCTAGGCCTTTGCGGTGCCTATTGTGTCATTGTCTGGGCCAATTGGTTCAGTTGGAAAGAGCTTATTACTAACCAAGTCCAAGTTGGGGATATTTGGTGCATTTAAATTACAAGAAAACTCCTAGCCAGACTTCATTTGTAACCCTGGCCTATAATCTCTCACGTGGCCTACTGTTCATAGGAAGGGTCAGCTGAGCAGTTATGCTGCAATCAGGGTGGGACCTTCCGCTAATCAGCGCTCACAGGGCAGGCTCTCCTCCAGGCTTGTGAGTGAAACAGAGGAGCCTTGCGCTTGTGTAACAAGGAAATTTACCATTTCCCTTAAAAGGAAAAAAATCATTCTTTCATGTCCCCAAATAAAGTTTAGATAGATTTAAATAAATATTTAAAAATAGAGAAAGGAAGCAAGCAAACTATTCAAAGGGATTTTGAGCTAGAAGTGAGTGAAAGCTCTCAGCTTCGAAGCAAGACAAGATAATAGAAGGGAGGAAAAAAGTTCATCCAGATGACAATTTAAAACTTATGTACACTGAAAAGTAAAAGGAAAAAAGCCAATTGGAAAAATTATTTGTACTAATAACAACAAAGACTTGATCAATAACAATTGATGAGTTCTTTAAGGATGAGGAGAAGGAGATCATTAACACATATATGGGTTATGGATATAAGTCCCATCGATAAAGAAATACAGACAATAATTGGCACGTAAGAAAATTTTACTTTGAGTAATAAGAGAAACCCCAATTAATGGTGAAGTACTATACACTCCTTGAATTAGCAAAACATTTTTAAAAACCACCAACACAAATCATGTGGAGGAAACTAGCATCATATGGTGAGAGCCGACATTGTGATGTGTATCAGAAGCCATGGAATTGTTTATGGTGGACCCTTTATCCAGTTACAGAAAATCACGTCTGCTTTATCTCAAAGAACTTATTACAAAGGTGGGGAAGAGAACCATGTGCACAAAACTTTTCATTATGCTGTTAACTATGTTAGTGAAAACATAAATGAAAAAGCGTCTATTAACAAAGAGATTGTCAAATAAATTATGATAATATTGCCTCAGTCAGCCTTTGAAAATGATAATTATGAAAGAGTATAAACTTACATAAACTATAATCACAGTTAAAGTTAAGAATGTGGATCCAAGGCGGGGAGTGGGGGGTTATGGATAAATGTAGGGCATTGTGGGTGGTGACAGTACATATTCATGAAGGTATGCTTGTCTTCAAACTCATCAATATGTACACATTAAATAAATACAGCTTTTTAATATGCCAGTCACACCTGACTATAACCAAAGTTTGCTGCTTTGATCTTGTGCCTTGCAGTCCCTTCCAGTGTCTTAATCATATCATAAAGGTTACTCTGATCTCTGAGATGGGTGCCTTGTAATTGAAGATTTGAACCTCATTTACAATTTGTAAGAGAAACATTTACAGATTAAACTTTGTGCAACAAATTAAAAACGGGGTAAAATAAGGAAAGAGATATAGGTCAGTGGAAATAAAAAAACAAAACCAAGCAATTAAGTTATTCTAACTGTAGACGATTTACTTTTCCCCCTTAAAATTGTTTTATTCTTATTATTTTTATAATACCGTGTCATAAGATGGAGGTACGATAGTGATAACAAAGCTAGATATGGTCCCTCTTTTGAGACTTGCAGTTGAAGTGGCATGTTTATGAATTAGATTCTTTAAAATAAAGTCTGACTTATTATGTATACCCTAAATATGCATCAGATACATGCATTCAGAACATTTGAAAACCCAAATATGATGGGTTTCATTTTCGTGTATTTGTTTCCCTGGACTTCCACAGAAGCCTTACCTGCAGCTGTACACACAATGTCACACTCTGCTCTTCTCGCGGGACCTTATGCTGTACCTTCCCCAGTGTTACCTGGTCTTCGTAGTTCCTCATGAATACAGCTGTTTCCTTTAGTTGTTCGCTGGTGATGCGTTCCAGTTACAAACTGAAGTACCGTTTTGTGTGCTTGTTCTTCTTCTGTTCCTTGCAACAGCCAGCAACCCCAACACGCACAATAGCAGCAACCCCAATTCAGACACTTCCACAGAGCCAGTCAACACCAAAGCGAATTGATACTCCCAGCTTGGAGGAGCCCAGTGACCTTGAGGAGCTTGAGCAGTTTGCCAAGACCTTCAAACAAAGACGAATCAAACTTGGATTCACTCAGGTAGGATGAACCCACCCTGAACTTCGATTTCCCCCTGGACTAAGTCCAGATAAGTGCTTTATGTGTCCAGAGAGGCTTCCGAGGAGCAGTATACATTCCATTATAAATGTATGATTTAATGTTGGATTAAAACTTTTAAGTTTTCTCTCAGAACACAGGCCTCTGAAATCATAATTATGATTATACCGCTAAGTGGGGAGAGCTGAAGGCGTATATCGGGGCTGCTGTAATCGTAGTGAGGGTTTTGTTCTCTGTGGAACATCTGGCTCTGGGCTTAGCACTCTGTCTGCACGATTGAGAGAGTGAAGACTGCAGGGTCTCTTGTAGTAGCTGAAAGGGGGAAAAGTTTGAAAGACTTGTTTAAAAACAGATTTTTGGGAAAGAGAAGGAGGCCAAATAGAAAGACACACATGCATGCGCGTGCACTAAGCCCACATTGACCCTAATTAAACAAACAGGAACCTGTTAAACCTGAAAAGTCCAAATTAATCCAAATCCAAGGTAACGTTTTTTTAATGGCCCCTAGCAGACAGCGTTGAGTGTGGAACAAGTTTAACGGTTCAAACAGCATCTGGGTAGATCGTGTCTGTTCCGAGCGCTACCACTGGACTTCCTCTCTCTGGTTAACCTGTCACAAAGAGTACTTTTAAAGCCAGAAAAGAATTAAACTGAGTAACAATTATATAAAATGATACAAGATCCTTAAATGAAAAAAAGTTACTGACGTATAGATTGGATTGAGTGGTTTTATGGAATCGGGAAACCTAATGTTTTCTTAGAATATAATTACTGTTTGAAGGTTCAGCCACCCCTTGAACGCTAAGTTGAAAGTAAAGTTGTGCGCGACATGGTAGATCAAAACCCAGGGACCTGTCCCTATTTGTTTTCTGTGTGTTTTTAAGAACAGACTTTTATTCCTTATATTTCTTTGGTAACTTGTTTTTGCTCAAAAAAATTAATTATATGTTAAAAACACAAAATGGTTTTTTTTTTAATAGGTGTGATTTTAGAGAAAATGCCATTAGCTTTGCAAGGAGTTTCAGTTGTGAAGAAACAAATTACAGTTCAGAAATATTTTAGTACTTCTGAAACACCTAAACAGTCTGACTTGTTTTGACAAAGGAAAGCTAAAGATACAGCTAGGTTGGTAGAGGGAGGGTGAGCTCGGACAAGTGTGAGCTTGGCATACGTATTTAGCAGTGCTGCGGCTTTTAGGCTATTAACCCGGCATACTCTTTGGTTCCCTAGGAGATTGTTGCCTCAGTGATATGCCAAGAATATTAAGGCTTTTAAAAATCTTTAACTTTGACCCAAATAGTACTTTGCCTTTCTGTGTCATTTGACCCAACATATTGCTAGTGTTGTCTCTCCTTCTCTTTCTCTTTTAGATAAAAGGGGCTTCCTTATGGGCTGGTGCTTTATGGTCTTATCCTATTATTTGGTATAATTGTTACTTTTTTTTCAGAATGACTTTGACATACCAGTGGTAGCATTTCACAAAATTTAACTGCGTGGATTAGAGCATATATTACTGGTGGAGGCTGGGAAAATCAGCCTTTGTTTTTAAGTCACATACCCCAATTGTAGTTACTCAAAGGTTGCTTTGTATCCAGTTTATTTAGATACACACACACACACACACACACACACACACACACACACACACGGGAATTTACACTCAACTTGTTAGTTTAAACAAAAAAGTCCCTATTCTCCGAGTAAGTATACATATTATTAGATGTTTTAAACAGTAATTTTCTAATTACTGAATTGGGTGAAGGGTTGCTGTAGGCATCACTGCGCTGGGGAGACGTACGTAGCAGAGCGCTTCTGGCGCACAGGACACTCATTACTTCCCAACCCCAGCCTTTGTTCCTTTTCTTCCTTTTGCTCTTTTAACAAATACCAAAGAGATACGATACAGCTCAGATAACGTATGAGGCAACTGCTTGAAAACATTTACTTTTGTGAGGAGGGACCCAACGTGGTAATTACAAAGCTCTAAACTGAGCATGTATCAAATGAATGAGAATTAGTGTATTACCTGAGAGACCTGTTGCTTTTTATTCATTTAAATAATTTAAATATGAAATTGCACCGTAAATCTCAAGTGGATTTGTCATAGTTGTAGTGAGTCGATGGCATAGCTTCATTTAGGCACAACTACTGTTGAGGGCATTGCTTATTTTTATAGTGATGAGATTTTTGCTGTGTTATTTTTGTTTACTAATATTGTTACTTTTCATAGATATTCTAGAAGTTTTTGGGAAACCCTTAGCAAATTATGCAGATACAGTGTCAGAAAACTTTTATTTACGTCTGACCATAACAGAGTATCTTACACTCAAAGAATCTCAACATTTAGTTGGCCCCACCCAGCTTTCTAAAAAGCTGTTGTCTAAACAAAGTGGCCAAGGACCTGAATTATATGGGACAAATGAAGCATGTCTAGTGCCTGAAATACAGCAGCACTTGGTGAATATTTGTTGATTGAGTGAAGATTTAATAAATATGGAGAGGTATCGATGCAAAGAAACCTGTATCTACAGATCTATTTGTGTATAAATACAACAGATGGCATTTATGCCCCGGCTCACTCTACCCTGGTTCTTTGAGTTTTACTGTAATTGGAAGGAAATCAATAAGCAGTCCATTTCTGTTCTACGTAGAGACAGTATATTCAGAGCTGTCAGTAAAACTTTCTGTGATGATGGGAAGGTTCTGTATTTGTGCTGTGCCACACAATAGCCACTGTCCACGTGTGTCGCTTGAGCCCTTGAAAGGCAGCTTCTGGAGCTAAGGAACTGAGTTTTTAATTTAGTTGATTTTAATTAATTTAGATTTAAATAACCACATCAGTTGAAGTTCTCTTCATCCTTATACCTTATTTCATCATGGAGTTTGAACATTTTCCCTCTTAAACTTTTTATCGGAAGTTGTACACCAGTAAGAAAATAGGAGTTTAAAAGAAAAAAAGGGTTTTTTTTTTTCCTTTCCTTAACTACCACCTAATGTAGGTGCTAATAGGCAGTGTAGGATCGAGAAGATGGATTGGCGGGGATGAGAGGAGATCAGAGAAGCGGGATAATCCCAGTTGAAAATAAGTGTTGCCACAGTGGCCAGGAGTTGGCGGCTTCCTAGGGGCATGGGCTGTGTGGTCCTTAGGGCTGGAAATGTTGCCTTTCTGCTCTGCCACTAACCTAATTGAAATGGGAGCATGAATCATTGAAACTCCATGAGTTTCTATCACCTGTATATAACATAACTATTAAGATATGGCCTTTTCTAGCCTTAACAAGAGAGATTCAGCTGGAAGAAAAGTATTGTATACATTTCAAAGGTTATAGGCTTATAAAGAAAGTCATCTTTTGTAATATATTCAGGGGATCATTGTTCTATTGCTATAAGGTTACCAAGTTGCCAGTGCCCATGAAGGTTTAACTAAATGGGTCAAACCTCTCTACTGTGAATTTCTGTCTCTAAAATGGTTACAAAAGTAGTCTTTTAGGATACCTGTTTTTGTAACCAACTTTGAAATCCAAACTAAGCGTGGAAAATAGATTTTTTCCACTGCTTCCAGAAATACTTTATGGGCCTGGGGTTGGGGGGGGGGGACAGAAGGGGGGGATGGAGAATGAGGCATTATTTCTCAAATTTAAAATGATTTATAGGAACTTTGGTTAGTTCAGAAATACCCGAAGGTATCCAGACAGTTAACGTCTATTAACCCTGTAAGTGATAACAGGTAACTGGTTTTAAAGATTATTTAAATCATTTTAGTTGCATCCATTAAGGGGCTTGTTAGAATATCAGCGCTATCTTTTGAGACTTGGAAATATTTAATAATCTTGATTATTATGTGAAGTAGCAAGAAGAGACTCAAAATGAGAGAAAATGGGAGGTAGGGACTTTGTCACAGTAAAGGCCTAACAGTCCTCACTGAATACTGTGCTCAGCTTAAAGGTGGATGCTTTTGTGGGTCTCTGTAAATGGAATGGTTGTTGAGTCTTTGTCTAGAGCAGTTACTGGGGCAGCCCTAGAGTGAAGACTTGGGACATTAGTGAGACAATTCTCTCTCCCTCTCCCCTCCTGCTCTGTGTTACTGTGCAGGGCGATGTTGGGCTCGCTATGGGTAAACTGTATGGAAATGACTTCAGCCAGACCACCATCTCTCGCTTTGAAGCCTTGAACCTCAGCTTTAAGAACATGTGCAAGCTAAAGCCACTTTTGGAGAAGTGGCTCAATGATGCAGGTGAGTGACTATATAAAACACTTCCTCACTGTCCAGTGGAATTTTACAGGGCAGTTGTTTACACTTGAATTTGTGTCTTCTATTGCATTGTTGGTACTGAGGAACACTGAAGCTCACCCATCTTGGGAGGAGCAGTAGAAATTATGACTCCATAAACCAGAGAGCTAATTCCTCTAAATCTAGTAATTACAATGGACACAATCAGCAGTGAGTTTTAGCCTTAGAATATTTCTTGTGTTTGAGCCAGGTTAGGGATAGTTGAAGGAAGAGCATAAGAAGTCCTAGGTATTTAGATACACTTGAAAAACAAAGTTGTTGATTCCACCTTGATGAATTATCTTAAACTTGTTACTGATATTTCTGCTTTTGTTAATAAAAATGAGCACATATGGTTTATATATACAATGGAATACTACTTGGCAATGAGAAAGAATGAAATCTAGCCATTTGCAGCAGTGTGGATGGAGCTGGAGGGTGTTATGCTGAGTGAAGTAAGTCAGAGAAAGACAGATACCATATGTTTTCACTCGTGTGCAACTTGAGAAACTTAACAGAAGACCATGGCAGAGAGGGAAGGGGAAAAATAGTCACAAACAGAGAGGGAGGGAAGCAAACCATAAGAGACTCTTAAATACAGAGAACAAACTGAGGGCTTCTGGATGGGGGGGCAGGGGAGGGAGGGAAGTGGGTGATGGGCATGGAGGAGGGCCCTTGCTGGGAGGAGCACTGGGTGCTGTCTGTGAGCAATGAATCACTGTACACTGCACACTGTACACGCTGTGTGTCAGCCAATTTGACAGTATATTTTTTTAAAATGATGACATATTTTCTACATAAAGAGTTAAGTTGCTAGTTTTAACTTAAGTGTTTTGTTCTGAGTTTATGGACAATTTGGACTCTGAGTCACAGATTCATAGACTATGAGAACTGGAAGGAACCACAGAGGTCTCCTAGGCTGTGGTTGTCATTGTAGATGTGAACCGAAGTCAGGTCTTTGGAAAAGACACGCCTGTAATTCCCACCCTTCGATAGTCTGATCCATGGCTCTGGGTGAGGCCTCAGCGTCTGTAATCTCACTGAGTTCCACAGGTGAGAACCTCTCATTTCACGTAGAGCGTAAAGAAACTCAGAGATGTCCGTGACATGACCAGGGTCATTAAACTCTTAAATGACAGAACCTTGTTTAAACGTTAAAGAATGTAGAAAGATCTATGGTAGTGAGTGACGTTCTAACATAGGTTATGAACACCCTTCCATGCTGGCTTTTTAGCCTAACATTTTGGTCCATTTTGTTGTTGTTGTTGTTAATATATGTATCCTCTGCATGAATCATGCTCAGCTGACTTGATTTCTGTGTTTTCTTCTTCCCTACAGAGAACCTCTCGTCTGATTCAGGCCTCTCCAGCCCAAGTGCCCTGAATTCTCCAGGGCTGGGGATGGAAGGCTTGAACCGCAGGAGGAAGAAACGCACCAGCATAGAGACCAACATCCGTGTGGCCTTAGAGAAGAGTTTCTTGGAGGTTAGTAATGTTTCCGCTCTTCACGCACTGTGGTTGTCTGTCTAATATTGATACGAGGCGCTGTTGATGACACAACACAGATTGGTCAGCCTCAATCCTCATGGACGCCTAGAACATAGTGGAGAACAGAAGACAAAGATGGCCGCCTCCCATTGGAAGCAGAACCAGAGGGCTTCAGGCTTCGGGAGGGTCCAGGCGCGTACCGTGTGAGCGCCGGTGTGGCAGGGGCTGCAGCGGCCGTGGGGTGCGCAGGATCGCACCAGCGGGGAGGGCTGGGAGAGCAGAGGAAACGCACCAGCAGGGCCATCCAGGAAGGAAAAACCATGAGGCTGATTTGGCAAAGCACAAATAGTACGATTTGACTAAATCCTAGTGCCTATGTGCCTAGAATAGTCATTTGGGACTAGACCACTAAAGGCCGTGGATGTCAGGAGTTAAAGTTAGTTCTGGGTGGCTCGGGTCATGATCTCATGGTTCGTGGGTTCGAGCCCCGCGTTGGGCTCTGCGCTGGCAGTGTGGAACCTGCTTGTGATTCTCTCCCTCTCCCTCTCTCTCTGCCCCTCCTCAACTTGTGCTTTCCCTCTCTATCAAAATAAATAAACTTAAAAAAAAAATAGTTCTAACAGGTGTTTGGCCTTGTTGTTACTGTTTATTTCTGCACCAGGCAATATCCCAGTCAGAGCTTCCAAAAAATTTTAACTTCTCTAATTTAAGAAAAGCTTGAGCACAGTGGAAGGAACATTGAGTCAGGAGTCTTTATCCACTCTACCACTTTTATTAACTGAGTGATTGGTCAAGTCACTTGATTTCTTGAGCTGAAGTCCCTGTATCTGTGAAATACCTGTCTTTCCTGCCCTGCAAGCTTACTGCCTTCCTCATGTAGTGCTAGTGAAATCAGGTGCACGGAACAATGAGAAACTCTTAAGTTCCTACTAACATATAAAGGTGTATTGATTGTTAATTTTATTCAAAATTAACCCTTGAGATGAAAACATAAACGTTCAAGAATACAACTTGTTCTTATTTAATATGATTAAGTTTAACAAATATATGTTAATTAGCATGTTTGTCTATAAAAGTTCTTTGTTAAAAGTGGGCTGGTATGGTCTTCTATACCCCAACTCCATCCTCTGATTTGTCCCTCCCCGTTTGTTTGTTTTTTTTTAATTTTTTTATGTTTATTTATTATTGAGACAGAAACAGCATAAGCGGGGGAGGGGCAGAGAGAGGGAGACACAGAATCCGAAACAGGCTCCAGGCTCTGAGCTGCCAGCACAGAGCCCGACACAAGGCTCGAACCCATGAACCCTGAGATCATGACCTGAGCTGAAGTCAGACGCTTAACCGACTGAGCCACCCAGGTGCCCCTGTCAGTAGTTTTTTAAAAAGTTATTCCAAAGATTATTTTTCTCCTTTAGAATCAAAAGCCTACCTCGGAAGAGATCACCATGATTGCTGATCAGCTCAGTATGGAAAAAGAGGTGATTCGTGTTTGGTTTTGTAACCGCCGCCAGAAGGAAAAGAGAATCAACCCACCGAGCAGCGGTGGGACCAGCAGCTCACCTATCAAAGCAATTTTCCCCAGTCCAACCTCGCTGGTAAGGACGCAGCCCAGACGCTGATTTTTATAAATTTTACAAATGATCTATGAAGTCAGTTTATTTCACAATAGTCATTTATTGTGTATATATATTCATGCCGAGTAAGTAGATATAAGCTTGTATTTTAAATGTTGCCAAGGTAATTCAGTCTCGTGTTGTCCTTAACAAAGAACTCCCTATCTTCCTTTTTTAAAGTGAACAATTTTAATTCTTTCCTGTCTCATGGAGGCTCCATTATTATTCTCTCTGGTGTAGCTTATTGGCTACTCTGCAACCATGGGAGCAAATTTGCTGCTCACTCGTTATCTTAAAAAAAAAAAAACTTTAGTTGCTTTTTATTCACGTTTGGTTTCAAAGCCCATATTATTAAAGTTACATGACTCAGTGACAGAAAATTCCAGACAGCCTTTAGCTCTGAACTTGTATTAAAACAGCCGTGTCCTGTCTTCACTCTCAAACATGTGGGCCTTTCACTGACGGCCTCATTGGGTAGCTTCCGCCTGCTGCTGTGGAACAGTGTTCTAGGCCGAGGGGCACGGGGTGTCCCTGTAACCCCCTTGAGCTCAAGGACAACCCCAAATATGAGTCGGCATTTCTAACCAGAAATTCCAGAGCTGGGCAGATTGTGGCGTTTGCGTTTCTGAGCTTTCCTTGTTTTGTGTCTTACTTCATTTGAATGTCATTCTATATGCGGATGTTTCTTAAACTAAATTCACCGTTAAGAGCGCACATGAGCTGTGACGTGAAGGCTGTGATTGTTGAAGTTCATGGGACAGCTTCTTAGGTGCTAGACACTTTTATGTAGGTGACTATTTTGCATTTGGGGTTTATTTGTACTAAAAGGAAGATGGTATTTCTTACAGAACTGTAGAAATAATATTGTTATTTCAAAAAGAAACTTAAAAACTTTGTTTCCCATTCTTTCCATGCTGTCACCTCATTAAAAACAAAAACAAGACAGTCTTGTCCCCACAGGGTCAAAGAGAAGAGCAGCCCAAGAGCCCCTGATGCCTGGTCCCACTGAATGGTTTTCCTGCGGGTCCTCGCTTGTAGTGTATCTGACTCCACATTATTGAAATTTAGGAATTTTTTTTTATTATTTCTTTTCCATTTCCAGTATCAGTGAAAAACCATCTTCTAATAGCTACCTTCATACCTAGGTCTGTTTTCTCAATTCCAAGATCAAAAATATGATTATAAGATTCTTTTCTCCTAGGCCCTTTTGTCATATCGGAATTTAAACATTTTTATAGGCAAAATACATCTTTGGTGGATTTTAAATTTTTTAAGTTCTCATTTTTTAACTCCCTTTGCCTATTTTCACTTCTGACCTCTAGGTGGCAACCACGCCAAGCCTTGTGACGAGCAGCGCGGCGACGACCCTCACCGTGAACCCGGTCCTCCCGCTGAGCAGCGCCACCGCCACGAGCCTGCCTGTCACAGGTGAGCAGCAGCCGCACCCCGCCCCTCACAGGCCCCGTTAAGAGCTGTGAATTAAATCGTGAACTAGGGCTCTAAGTGCAACTGTGTCCTGCTGTTTTTAAGTCCCATATGAAAACCTGAACTCCAGAACACAGCCAGGCATATAACTAAGTTTGTCAGAAAGAATTCTCTCACATAAAGATTTTCTTATGTGACTTGTTCTTTCCCACATTACTCTCTCTTATCTTCCGACCTTGCTCCGGAGTTCTGTTTCAAAGCTCCCAGCTGTTTTTCAAGAACTCCTCTCCATAAACGTTCAGTGGCTACAGCTTTTTATATTCAGGAAAGCATCCGAATTCATCATCAGTTCATCGAAGGCTGTTTCCAGTCTGCATCTTCTCTTCCACTGGTCTTTTCTCCCTTCCCTCCTCAGCATACAGGAAGGTTCCATCCTTCCCTTCGTCAGTATGCCCACAGCCTGCAGTGCTACCCCGCCTGCACTTCTTTCTGAAACAATGAAACTACTCCAGCTTAGGAATCAGTTCTTTCTGGAAATTGTCTTTTTTTATTTTTATTTTTACTGTTTTATTTATTTCTGAGAGAGAGAGACAGCACGAGCAGGGGAGGATCAGAGAGAGGGAGACACAGAATCTGAAACAGGCTCCAGGCTCTGAGCTGTCAGCACAGAGCCCGACACGGGGCTTGAACCCACGAACTGGTCAGATCATGACCTGAGCTGAAGCCGGACGCTTAATGGACTGAGCCACTTGGGTGTCCCCTTTCTGGAAATAGTCTTTAGCCTTCCCAGGAAACTCTACAGAACTGTTCCAGCTTAGGAATCAATTTTCTGGAAATACTCTTTGGCCTTCCCAGGAAACTCTTCATTCCCACCTGCCTATATTATAAATGATTGTACTTTTGGTACTTCTGTCTTTCCTAGTACATTTTGCACTTCTCAAAAGATCTGAATATTCTTTTTGCAATTTCAGTGCCTGGTTTACTGTCTGACATGTTCACTATAAAACGAATAAACTTTTATCCTTTGGCCTCCTTTAAAAAAAAAAAAAAAGTAACATTTCCCAAGTACCTTTAACTTTGTGTTGGCGTGCCTGGGTAGCTTAGTCGGGTGGGTATCCGACTCTTGATTTCAGCTCAGGCCATGGTCTCTCAGTCTGTGAGGTCAAGCCCTAGGTTGGGCTCTACACTGACAGCACGGAGCCTGCTTGGGATTCTCTCTCTCCTTGTCTGTCTATTCCCCTCCCCTGCTCGCACACTCTCTGTCTCTCAAATAAATAAATAAAAACTTTAAAAAAAACAGTAAAATAAAAGAACTTAGTGTTGTCATCAGAAGTTTTTTAGGGGCACCCGGGTGGCTCAGTCAGTTAAGTGTCCAACTTCAGCTCAGGTCATAATCTCACCGAGCCCCACGTCGGGCTCTGTGCTGGCAGCTCAGAGCCTGGAGCCTGCTTCAGATTCTGTCTCTGTCTCTCTCTCTGTCTCTTTCTCTCTCTCTCTCTCTCTCTCACTCAAAAAAATGAATAAACATTAAAAAATAATAATAAAATGGGTTTGGGATATTTCACAGTCAAGCTTGAATTTAACCTAGAGTTGGGGAATTTGATTTTCTTCACCCACGTTTTAAGTTTGTTATAACGCCTCTTTGGCTCTGTGATCTAACTGAATGGCTTTACCGAGTTATTAAGTTTTTGAGTTATTAGGAAGTGTCATCATTTTGTTTATATATTTAGAGTAGTACTTCTTGACCTCTTTTGGGTCTCAGAGCTCTTTGAAAGTTTGATAGAAGCTTTAAACTTTTCTCCTCACAAAATAGACACACCCACAAGTTTTAGTAAAATATTAAGGACGTTCATAAATGATAGCCCCCATCAGTCCCCACCTCACAAAAGCCATTTTTGGATGCCAGAGGAATAGAGATTGCAAGGTAAGAACCCATGTGTGAGAGTACATAGTATTCAGCACTTGGGCTTAGGAAGCAGATTGTTGGTGACTAGTTGCTGTTCTGTGGGCATCAGGGACATGAAATTCCTGCCTCTGAGGAACTCACCATCCACCCTGACTGCCATCATCTGTTTGCCTTCCCAACAAATTAGAAGTCCTAGTACGTTAGACCTAAAGATAACCATCTTTTGCAGAAAAATTCCTAATAGTTCAAACATTAAGAACAAGTTGCTTTGCAGATTTCCTAAAAATGTGGCAAAAAAGTCTGAAAACAGAAGCTAATTTTTAGGAGATACCCAGACTCAAAACTAGCTAAAACTTCCTATCAGTTTTGATACTGACCAGTCATATTTTCCTAAACTCACTCAGCCCACTCATGTGGATTTAATTATAAGTGTTTTCTGAAATGTTGGTAACTTTGTTTGGAGAGAGATTTTTCTTCAGTTCTTAAAAAGTTGGAACGTTACAGGAAACTCAAATAGGCAAAACAATCACAATGAGCTATTTTTATCTTGCCTTTAAATCATTTTTATACATATATGGACAACTCTAATAGTGTTTAATGTATCCTGCTTTCTTTTTTACTTCTCATCTTACTATGTGTCATCTTACAGTTTTTTTTACATTTCTACCTTTTTTATAATCGGTATTTTCCTTTTTTTTTTCCAACGGGTATTTATTTTTGAGAGACAGAGACAGTGTGAGTGGGGGAGCAGCAGAGAGAGGGGGAGAGAAAGAATCCCAAGCAGGCTCTGTGCTGGCAGCGCCTGATGTGGGGCTCAAACCCGTGAACCATGGGATCATGACGTGAGCCCAGATCAAGAGTTGGGCACTTATCCGACTGAACCCCCCAGGTGCCCCTACATTTCTACTTTTGATTTGTCCTTATTGTATTGAACGGTTGTACCAGAATTTCATAAGTATTTCCATTTAATGCTGTGATGGTTAAGTTCTACCTAGAGTGACCAGCTTTTCCATTTGAGTCCCGCAAATCTTGGGTCCCAAGAAACCCCTCAGTCTCTCAGCCACATAACAAATCTTTCTTGTTCAGTATTGATTTCTTCCTCTCTAGCATACCACCTAGCATGTAAGCTGCCCAGTAATTATTAAAGGAATGAGGTTTTCACCTGGAAAATGTACCCTAATAGAGGACCTTTGTACAAAACAGTTTTCTTAAATCTTTATTTTTAGGTAATGTCAGATTTACAGAAGAGTTGCAAGGATAGTTCAGAGAAATACCTTTAGATTCTCCAAATGTGAAAATCTAAACTGTACTTGCTTTTTCTTTCCTTTTTCTGTTTCTCTTCCTGTGTATGGGATGTTTTTCTGAACTGTTTTAAGAACAAGTTGTGGACATGCTGCTTTATCTCTAACTACTCTTTCATTGTGTATTTTCTAAAAGAACAAATTACCGTATATAACCAGACTGCAGTTACCAAAACTCAGGAGATTAACACTGGCTCTGTACTAATCTCTAGTGAGCAACTCACGCGCGTAATTTGCCAATTGTGCCAATAATGTCTCTTAAAACACAAGAAAATCTTTATTTTTTTTTAATGTTTATTTTTTTGAGAGAGAGACAGAGTGCAAGCAGGGGAGGGGCAGACAGAGACGGAGACACAGAATCCAAAGCAGGCTCCACGCTCTGAGCTGTCAGCACAGAGCCCAACGCAGGGCTTGAAGCCACAAACTATGAGATTATGACCCAGCCTGAAGTCGGACACTTAACCATATGAGCCACCCAGGCGCCCCTGGCACAAGAAAAGCTTAAGTCCTGCATTGCATTCAGTCACTGTGTTTCTTTAGTCTTCTTAAACCGGGGACAATAGGAGTCTTTATTTATTAGCATTTTAGGACATTGATTTTTTTCTTGAGGAGTGTAGCTGTTTACTTTATAGATGTTTTGTCTGTCGTTTCCTCGTGATTAGATTCAGATTGTGCACTTTGGGCAAGAATACCACAGCAGTGATACCCAGTTCCCCTTTGTGCCTGAAAGGAGCACACATGTTGTTGATTGACCCCACTACTGGCAATATTAACTTTGATAATTTGATTAAGGTAGTATAGGTCAGGATTTTCCATGGCAGAGTTGTTATTTTATTCCTCACAGCTGGTAAATGAGGAGTTTGAGACTGTACAGATAATCCTGGTTTTTGTCAAATCTTTGTCCACTAGTGTCCATTGATGATTTTTGCATGGGTCTCTCATGACTCTCAAAGAATTCTGTGATTTCTTCTACATTTATTAGTTGCCTTCCTTGCCTTTTCCCTAATGCTAACTCCCTTATCAGTGACTGAGAAACCGGCACCGGTTATTAACAATATCGCTAATTGCTCAAACCTGCAGTGAAAACAGTGCAGTTTCAAAATTGCTAATCCATGTTTCTGAACAGAAAAGGCTGCTAATGTGAGTTCTGTGTCTGTTTGGAGTTCTTGTCTTTAACCTGAAGGTATATCGTCCAAACACTGTGTTCAGAAGTTGTTTAGCTTAGGACTTTTTATATCCTCTTCAGTGTAGTTATATTATTCACTTGAAGTTCAGTTTGTTTTGCTTGTTTTCAGTAAAAGTATTCTTCCCTCATCCTTGTGGATTTTTTTTAAGTATATGAGATAATTGCGTATCATCAGTCATTGGTTTCAAAAGTCAGGACTACACAGAAATTTCTCTTCAGAATAATGCCATTCCCTTCTGTTGTAATTCTCTTTCTCTGACAGGTGAGCTTGGAATCTTAGGGCTCTGTTGTGATGGATAATTCTTGTCTCTGTCACAGTCTTCTCCTGTGCCCTTCCAGACTCTTAACTGGTTACCCTGCTGCCTAATTCCAACCTCTTTCTCGTTCCAGCAGATCTGTCAAAATATCTCAGGTTTTCTGATTCCTTTCCCCGGACTTCTTACTCCCTTTTCTTTGCCATCATTTGAAATAGGATTTTAGGAACGAAGAGGGAGAAAACCATATCCTCAGTCTACCATCTTCTAAGAGAAATCTTACCTGATCCACACAGTCATTTTCATTTTCCCGTACTTAGTATAGTGCTTGGCACATCGAAGCTCCCTGGTGAACT